TTTGTTGGCTGAATATTGTTCCATCAGTTTACTCCGGGAATACTGTTTTGGTTTTAAGCAACTGTCACAACTGGTTGTTCTTATTGATTTCTGTGGGCTGTTGCTGTTTGGTTTTCTGGAATCGCTGTTGGGTTTGTCTCTTAAATTGCTGTTGAGCTTTGGTCTGTTTTCTTGGACTGTCTCTTTTACTGGTTTGGGGCTGTTCGACTGAGTGTGCTGCTGTTTATCTGCTGTTGCTGTGGTATTGCATACTGCTTTGCTGATCATTCCCTTTCTTCTTTTGCTTTCCTATACCAGGTACACGACTGATACACTGCCAATGTAACTTGAAAGTTGAGCATGAATACAAAAGAAAGGAGTTGAAATTGTTTATTTTCATATGTAGCCTGTAAATTGAACATTATATGGTGTATAATAGTTTACATTTTTGCCTGGATAGTGGAGGTAGCCCTCCTACATAACGAATGTCGATGTATGGCAACTTGATAGCATATTGTGTATATAGGCTGGTAGATAAAAGGATTGACAGTGTAGATATGCTATACCTTAGACTTTAGCTATGTTTGTGATTAGCACATCCTTTAATACATGTTAAGTATGAAACTATCCGTTGTTAGTTAATCTTATTTCCTTTGATAAGCTGCCTCGCTATAACTAGCAAACCATATCTTTTGGAACAAACAACACAAGTCTACATTTCAACCTTATAAATATCAAGCCCAAACCGAATGAACTAAACAGGCCTTCATCGGAAAAGCAGTGGCCCAGGTTCGACCAATACTGTGGGGGCTGGGTTTGGGCCCATAGTGTCCGGATGGCTGTCCATGTATGCGGTCGGGCTTCAGATTTTGCGAAAGCATTCAGAACCCCACTATAAATAACCTGCAAGCATGTAACTAAGTAGGATCATTTTGCTTTCATTAGTAGAGACAAACGTAATAGAAAAATGTAGTCACTATAGGTTTATCCTTTAAAAAATAAAAATGAGACGAGACTCGCCAAATAAATGCACAGCTGTGGGGCCCTCAATAAATACATAACCATTGCCTAGACTTTGGATTTGGCCGTTTAATGAACCTTCACGGCCTCTTCCTAAAATAACAATACTCTTTAGGACGCGCCTTAATAAATCTTACCTTCTTAAACACGGGTGCACATTTATGTGACCCAAATCCAAATCTCAACGGAGTCGAAATGTGTCTCTAATCACGGGTACATTGATTGTGACGTGGTTCGAGATGCGTGTCCATGACGTTGCAAATTCCTTTCAAAAAATAAGAATGAGATGAGCCTCGCCAAATAAAAATACAAAATTGCGGGGCCCTCAGTAAATATTTGCTATAAAATTGTTTAGACTTCGGGATGGACCGTTTATTAAAATTCCACGGCCCTACCCAAAGTAAATGATACGCTAGTTGCTTTAGGCGCGTATTTAATAATGTTATCTTCCTAAACTCGGGTGCACATTTATGTGACCCAAATCCAAATCTCAACAGAGTTGAAATACGCCAACAACCACGGGTACATTGATTGTAACGCGGTTCGAGATGTGTTTCCACGATGTTGCAATTCTTGATAAAAATAACAGTAAATGATAAAAGTGGTTAAAAGTTAAAATTTGCACATAAGTTCATACTTGTATAAAATCAGATAATCAAGCTGAATATGACAGTTGAGCGACCGTGCTAGAACCACGGAACTCGGGAATGCCTAACACCTTCTCCCGGGTTAACAGAATTCCTTATCCGGATTTCTGGTACGCAGACTGTAATATGGAGTCATTCTTTTCCTCGATTCGGGATTAAAATTGGTTACTTGGGACACCCTAAATCTCCCAAGTGGCGACTCTGAAATAAATAAACCAATCCCGTTTCGATTGTCCTTTAATTGGAAAAAAATCCCCTACGCCCCCGCGAGGTGGGAAAAGGAGGTGTGACAATCACCACCCAAATCTACCATGTCGTGATGGCGCCTATCGTGGTACTAGGCAAGCCGACACATTACCAAGACCAATCAATATTCTTATTCTTAAGATAAAATCAAAGCTATTTAACTATAAACCTTCATAAAGTGTTTAAATCAAACAACAGTGCGAAAAGAAAATCCCGACATCGGGGTGTCACTAGTCATGAGCATCTACTAAGAACTGTCCGATAATACTAAGACTACTACAATTTGGAAACCAACTAATAACATCTATAGGAAGATAAGAGGGAGAAGAGTAGGGCTGCAATCACCATGGATCTATCTTGCTAACTCCAACAGATCCGCGACGGATGAAAACAACACTCACTAGAACGTCCAGCAATCCCTGGATCTGCACATAAGGTGCAGGGAGTAATATGAGTACGCCAACTTAGTAAGTAATAAAGGTAACTAAAGACTGAACAGTAGTGACGAGCAGTAAAACATATACAGTTCATATCATGAAATCTCAGTAGAATGTAATAGGCTTTTAAAATTAGAATTTTGAATCAACTAAGCTCATTTAAATCCAGTTTCAGTAAAACCATTTAAAACATCTTTTAACATTTTCAAATGAAGTGATAAAAATAGTGAGTAAAAATGATGAAAACATAATCAACCCCTCGGGCAAAACTCTCTCGTATACCGCACCTCGGGCAACATAAAACATAAACATTCCCTCGGGAAAGCATCACTCGTATACAGCCCCTCGGGCAAACATGAATCATAAATAGCCCCTTGGGCAAACATTACTGTCATTCATATACAGCCCCTCGAGCATGCCTCACAATCACTCATAAACAGCCTCTCGGGCACAACATGAATTAAGAACAACCCCTTGGACAAAACGTCATATCACTCACTCAGGGTACCCATGCTCACTAGGGGTGTACAGACTCCGGAGGGGCTCCTACAGCCCAAGCACTATAACAAGCCACCTTGTGGCATAAATCAATCAGGCCCTCGGCCTGACAAAATCATGAATCAGTAACAACATATTGTGGCGTGCAGTCCGATCCCATAAATATCCTCACAAAATAGGCCCTCGGCCTCACCCAGTCATAAACCTCTCAAGCACTCGGGCTATCAGTAAAACAGGATGCTCAGCCCAAAATAACATTTTTATGCATCAAAACGGAGTAATAAAGACTGAGTTATGAAATCAGTAAGTATAACATGACTGAGTATAGATTTTCAATAAAAAACAGTAAGAGGATAGTAAGAAAAAGGCCCCTAAGGGTCCAAACAGCTCTGGCACAAGGCCCAAACATGGCATTCAGCCCAATTTAAAGGAACTCTTTCTAAAACACATAAGTATCATATAGTTTCAACCAAATATGCAACTTTTATAGTTGATACGAGACGGATCAAGTCACAATCCCCAATGGTGCACGCCCACACGCCCGTCACCTAGCATGTGCGTCACCTCAAAGCAGTAAAATAATGTGAAATCCGGGGTTTCATAACCTCAGGACTAGATTTACAATCATTACTTACCTCAAACAAGCCAATTCCAATACCGAGCAAGCCAAGCAATGCTCCAAAAATGCAATCTCCTGCGTTCCGGCCTCCGAACGGCTCGAAACTAACCAAAAACAACTCAAATACATCAAAAAATGCTAAAGCAACCAATCCCAATCGAAAAATGTCGAATCTTTAATCAAAAGCCCAAATTCGGCCAAAAAACCCAACCCGGTCCCGCATCTCGGAACCCAACATAGTCACAAAAACTGACAACCCATTCAATTATGAGTCCAACCATACTAGTTTTATCCAATTCCAACTCCGAATCGATGCTCAAACTTAACATTTCACTTTATGAAACTTTAGGCAAAACCCCCCAAATTTCACTTTGAAATCATCAATTAAATGCCAAAAACGAAGATGAATTCATGAAATATAACCAAAACCGAGTAGAGAACACTTACCCTAATACATATGGTAAAAATTGCCTCCAAAATTGCCCAAATCCGAGCTCCCCAACTCAAGATATGACCAAATGAACAAACCTTGTTTTATATATATATTTTCTGCCAGCTATTCTGTCTCGTTTCTCATGCCAAATGATTTCTAAACTTGCTTTTGTTAACTCTAATGGATTCTTTATGAAATTTTAGTTAAGTCAGGCTCTTGAATCACTCCATTTGACCTTATATTGAAGGAGATATGTTAGTTTTAATATTTGAAAATAGTGTAGATTTTTAAATACGAATTTAGTGGCAATTTCGTAATTAATCTGAAAAATATGGCAACCCAATTCTTAGTAAAATGACCATAAAATCCTCATACGATATCCAAATTCAACGATTCTTTTTGTTATGACTCCATAATTACGATACACATCTAATGCTTCAATAAAAATAGAAATCGGAGTTCATTTGCATGTTGTGCCATTTATGCTTGAACAACGATGTCGAAACATAAAAAATGAGCGCAACACAACCCAAACATATCCGAAACTCACTGAGCCCCTTGGGACCCAGTTCGAACATACCAAAATATTCCATATCATAACACGGACCTACACGAGGCCTCAAAACACACATAACAATATCGAAACGACGAATCACACCCCAATTTGAAATCAATGAACTTGAAACTTGAAACTTCCACACCTGGGTTTTGTTGGTCCAAAATACACATGGTGTAACAATTGGGAGCCAAGAAGAAGAATATGGAAGAGATTGGATAGAGTGTTTATCAATGATGATTGGTCCCGAATCTTTCAAAATAATATTGTCAATCATTTGGCTAGAATTGGCTCTGACCATAGACCTATTCTAATTCAATGCAAGGACTCTAACCAGGAGGGACCTAAATACTTCAAGTTTCTAAATTTTTGGTCTAATCAACCAACTTTTTTGCAGGTAGTTGAAGAAGTTTGGAGAAATCATGTCAATGGAAATCCTCTGTGAAGACTTCATCAAAAGCTTAAAATGCTGAGCAGAAGACTGACTCAATGGTCCAGAGATGACATTGGCAATGTTTTTAACCAAGTTCAATACTAGGAAAATAAAATAAAAAACCTTGAACAAATGGATCTTATGAACAGTAATGATACAACCAGAAATGAACTGAACAAAGGACAAGTTGAGTACATTAGATGGATGGGGATGCACGATGACATTCTCAGACAGAAAGCTAGGGTGAACTGGTTTGAAGAAGGAGATGCTAACACTAAATACTTCCATAGCACCATCAGAGGGAGAAGGAGAAGGCTGCAAATTCTTAAAATCAAAGATCATAGAGGCCAATGGATTGAGGGGGATGCTAATATTGGCAAGGGTCCATCACTTTTAACAGTTCTTTAATATCAATCATCACTACAATGATCATGATATCATCAACTGTATTCCTCGATGTGTAACTGATACAGATAATGAAAGTCTCACTGCCATTCCTGACACAAAGGAGATTAGATATGTTGTCTTTAACATGGATCCTGACAGTGCAGCAGGACCAGATGGTTATAATGGGAAATTCTTTCAATCCTTTTGGGATATCATTAAGGAGGATATCACTGATTTTGTTCAAGCTGTTTTCAATGGCAGGAGGCTCACTAAATTTTTTTCTCATACTTGTTTAGTTCTTATTCCTAAAGTTGATTCCCCTAATAGTTTCTCCGACTTGAGACCTATTAGTTTGAGTAACTTTACTGCCAAGATTATCTCCAAGATCCTTTCCAGAAGGCTGAATCCTATTCTTGGGAAGCTTATATCAGAGAATCAAAGTGGCTTTGTGAAAGGAAGATTGATCACTGAAAATATCCTTTTATCTCAGGAGATTGCTCAGGGCGTGAACAAGAAGAACAGAGGAGGCAATGTTATTATAAAACTTGACATGGCAAAAGCTTATGATAGAATTTCCTGGACCTTTTTGATAGCAGTTATGCGGAAATTTGGTTTCTATGAGAATTGGATTGACATGATCTGGGGACTTCTACAAGATATATGGTACTCTATCATCATCAATGGGGCTAGAACAGGTTTTTTCACATCTACTCAGGGCCTCAAATAGGGAGATCCCTTATCCCCTTCTTTGTTTATTATTGGAGCTGAGGTCCTTTCTAGATCTCTAAATGCTCTAAATGACTTTATACGCTTCACTCCTTTTAGCATGGATTCGAGAGGTCCGATGATCAATCATTTAGCCTACGCTGATGATATTGTTATATTCTGTGGTGGAAACAATATGACTCTTAAGTTAATCAAAAAGGTTATTGACATGTATGGAAAGGCTTCTGGGCAGAAAGTTAACAACGATAAGAGCTTCTTTATCACAGCCCCTCACACATGCGCTGCTAGAATCAATAGAATTAGGAATGCTACAGGCTATATGGATAAGTCTTTCCCTTTCACTTATCTGGGATGCCCCATTTATTTTGGGAGGAAGACTAGCAATCTTTTTGACGGTATGCTCTCTAAGGTGGTCAAGAAACTTAATGGATGGCAAGCCAATATGATGTCCTCTGGAGGGAGAATGATCTTGATTAAACATGTCTTACAATCACTCCCCACATACATCCTTTCTGCTATGAACCCTCCTAAAGGAATTACTAAGCTCATGGAGAAACACTTTGCAAACTTCTTTTGGGGCACAAATGAAGGTAAAAACAAATATCATTGGTCTTCATGGAATAATCTTTGTCTCCCCAAAGAAGAGGGAGGAGCCGGTGTCAAAAAAATGGAGGATATCATAGATACACTTAACATTAAAAGATGGTGGAGATTCAGAACTCACCCCTCTCTATGGGCCAACCTTCTCAAGAATAAATATTGCAAAAGAGCCCATCCAGTGAACAAAAAGTCAAATCCCTCTGATTCTCATATTTGGAGAAACATGCTCAAAATCAGACACAAAGCAGAGGAAAACATTAGATGTGAAATACAGAAAGGTAATTGTAGCTTTTGGTGGGATAACTGGACAGGTAAAGGTGCATTGGCCAACATATTACAAGGTAGTGGAAGATTCTCTAAAGTACAGGTGAAAGACTTCATAATTAATGGAGAATGGACTATTGTCAAACTCAACGATGTTCTTCCCGTGCATATTATGGATAGTGTTGCTCAACTGGATATAGGTGACCCAAATGAGGATGATTTCCCGGTTTGGACTACTTCTAATGATGGGAGATTTTCTTCTAACTCAGCATGGCATTCTATTAGATTCAAGAAACAGAAAAATATCTTCATAAACAAAATCTGGCAAAACTCTCTCCCTTTTAAAATGTCCTTTATCTCTTGGAGAATTTTCAAAAATAGGTTACCTTTTGATGATGTTATTTGCAGATTTGGTACTAACATTATTTCCAGATGTTCTTGTTGTTCTTCTGCGTAGGTAGAAATAGTTCAACATGTCTTTAATAGTAGTAAAGCTGCCATCTTCATATGGAACAACATAGGTAATGCATTTGGAATCAAACATCAGCAGAAGCCTATTATTGCTACCTTCAAAAGATGGTGGGAAACAACGGCCAACAATAAAGTGCACAATCAAATGCTTCAAATAGCTCCTACAACCATATGCTGGGAACTGTGGAAACAAAGAAATACATGCAAATATGAAAAACAAAAGAAGTTTCAGCTGAACTCGATGAGACACCAAATCACATGGACATTGAAAACGGCTATCTCCAACATGGTACCAGGTGAATACACTCAGATGGAATGGCCTTTATTATGTGATAAGGTCGAGAGACTCAGACCATATCAGAAATGGATACAAGTTACATGGGAGTCTCCACTAGCCGGCACTATCAAAGTTAATACGGATGGAAGCTTTTACAAAGAAAGTGGTAAGGCAGGCATTGGAGGGGTGGTCAGGAACAGTCAAGGGGACCTTATTGCGGCTTTTTCTATTCATATCAGCTGTGATGATCATACCATAGTAGAGGCTAAAGCAGCAGAGTTTGGAGGGAAATGGTGCAGTCAGAATGGATACACTAATTTCTCTATCGAACTGGACTCAAAGATCATAGTGAATATGCTCACGGATGAAAATCCTAACGACATGCAGATTAAAAAGGTTATAGACAGAGCCTCCCTCATCATTAAACAAACTAGAGCTACGGTCAGGCACTGTTTCAGAGAGGGGAATCAGGTTGCGGATTGTCTTGCTAAATTGGCTACAACCACAAATCAGAGAAGGTTGTATCACTCACTCCAAGAATTGCCTAGCAATGCAAAAGGACTCTTTCTCCTTGATAAATGGCAACTTCCCAGTATAAGGACAAAGTATGAAAAATCTAATTTTTTTGTTAGTTAATGTTGTTCATAGATCTAAGGAAGGAGGGTGTATATATATGAACCTCCTGTCCTTCTTTTGGGGTGATTGCATCACCATTGTTGTATTTTTGTGAGGTCAGGTCTAGCCCCTCTCTTGCACCTTTTTGAATACAACACAACCTAGACGTCTGTCTGGGCAACTTTATAAAAAAAAAACTCCCACAACCGATGCCGAAACCTATCAAATCACATCCGATTGACTTCAAATTTTGCATACAAGTCACGTTTGACCTTATTGACCTGCTCCAACTTCCGGAATAGGAATCCGACCCCGATATCAAAAAGTCTACTCCCAGTCAAACTTTCCAAAATTCCAACTTTCATTATTTCAAGCCAAATTCTATTACAGACCTCCAAATCACAATCCGGACGCGCTCATAAGTTCAAATCACCCAGCGGAGCTAACAACCATCAGAAATCCAATCTGAGGTCAAATTCTAAAAAGTCAAAACTTGGTCAAACCTTTCAAAGTTAAAGCTTCTAGCTGAGAATCATTCTTCCAAATCAATTGCGAATAACCTGAAAACCAAAACCGACGATTCACATAAGTTATAATACTTCATACAGAGCTATTCATGCCCTCAAACAACCGAGCGAAGTACAATTGCTCAAAACGACTGATCGGATCGTTACATGCATACAGACTAGAAAATGCAACTTATTGTGAAATATTTTAGATAAAACGGGTGACAAAGTTATAAATGAAAGACATATCAAAGGTTCCAAATTAAGAACTAGGGAATTACAATTGAGCATCTCTTGCGAACAGAATCCTAACTTCGTCTCTCGAAATTGATGACTATATACAAATATGGGAAGCAATACCCAAAATCATGGGAGTTGAAAAAGAAGAGGCAAAGCATTTAAGAAATGCAGTGAATGCACCAAATAAAATCGACGTCTATCAAATAGGACACGTAAAGAAACACAAGTAATATAGTATTGGAAAAAAAGTACGATGACAAGGCTAAGGACCGGTGAATTGTGATTAGATGCACATACTAGGATGGATGGCAAAATTGCAACATTGTCATCTTTCATATAAGCCAAACTTGTAGAGCATTTCTAGTTTTTAACCCCTAGGTCCTTACTAAGGGGTGGAAAAATTGATGATTTCTCTAGCTTTTTCATCCTTAGATTGTCGAATTTTTTTGATATATAATAATACAATATTTGGTTCTAGACACATAACTAATTGCTTGGTAAAAGAACTCTTCCCGTGACAAAGCGCCCGACTCTTGGGCCTAGGTCCGGAAGTTTCATCGTTGGGTCTTCTATCAACACGCTATTTCAAACCAAATTCTATTACGGACCTCCAAATCACAATCCGGACGCGCTCATAAGTCCAAATCACCCAACGGAGCTAACAGAACCATTAGATATCCAATCTGAGGTCAAATTCTAAAAAGTCAAAACTTGGTCAAACCTTTCAAAGTTAAAGCTTCTAGTTGAGAATCATTCTTCCAAATCAATTGCGAATAACCTGAAAATCAAAACCGATGATTCACATAAGTTATAATACTTCATACAGAGCTATTCATGCCCTCAAACAACCGGGCGAAGTACAATTGCTCAAAACGACTGATCGGATCGTTACATGCATACAGACTAGAAAATGCAACTTACTGTGAAATATTTTAGATAAAACGGGTGACAAAGTCATAAATGAAAGACATGTCAAAGGTTCCAAATTAAGAACTAGGGAACTACAATTGAACATCTCTTGCGAACAGAATCCTAACTTCGTCTCTTGAAATTGATGACTACATACAGATATGGGAAGCAATACCCAGAATCATGGGAGTTGAAAAATAAGAGGCAAAGCATTTAAGAAATGCAGTGAATGCACCAAACAAAATCGACGTCTATCAAATGGGACACGTAAAGAAACACAAGTTATATAGTATTGGAAAAAACGTACGATGACAAGGCTAAGGACCGGTGAATTGTGATTAGATGCACATACTAGGATGGATGTCAAAATTGCAACATTGTCATCTTTCATATAAGCCAAACTTGTAGAGCATTTCTAGTTTTTAACCCCTAGGTCCTTACTAAGGGGTGGAAAAATTGATGATTTCTCTAGCTTTTTCACCCTTAGATTGTCGAATTTTTGTGATATATAATAATACAATATTTGGTTCTAGACACATAACTAATTGCTTGGTAAAAGAACTCTTCCCGTGACAAAGCGCCCGACTCTTGGGCCTGGGTCCGGAAGTTTCATCGTTGGGTCTTCTATACCTTCCGCCTTGGGCCCATAAATATATTACCACTAAAATAAAAATGAGGTGAGAAAACTCGAACTCTCGACCTCGAGATCGCTCAGAAGCTATGAGACCTACGCACTAACCAACTGCGCCACCACCCCGATGTGACAGTCTTGTTTAGTTATTTTATATGATAACGTAATTAACATGTGTTTTAAGTAATAAAAAAATAAACCTTCATTGAATATTTTCAAAAAAGGAGGTTAGAGTCATTGTAATGTAAAATTATGTGAAGGTCCATTTCTTTAGAGGTATTGAACTCCGTGTTCCATTGGTTCAATTTTATCGGTTATGAACTTATCATAAGTTACTTTTATTTTCAAGTTACCATATTATGTTTGTTATAAGAAGTTACATATTGTTGTAAATTCACTTAATTTTATAATATAAAAAGAATTTACATATCAATGTACAAAAGTTAAATTCCACCAAGAGACAATCGCACTTGATAAAAAAAAAAGAGAGTTACCATGCTCATACAAAAGATAGAAATAGAGGCATGTGGAATGAGTCTCAACATTGCAACTTAAAGCACAAGCACGTACAATGATACAAATAGACCATGAGTCTTGAAATTCTAATAGATATCAACCTGAGCTTTTACCTTTGGTGAGAGTTGTTGGGATATATACTATTAACATAGATTTGGTTTAGATATAGTATGTATTATGAAATAATTATTTATTCAGTTTAATAAAGTTTTAAATAGATCATATATTAGTTTATGTCCTTTGCTTATATTGTAGATGATTTAGTGTATAGAGTTTAGCTTATACACGAAAGATTAAATCATCGGTTCTTGTAAGTATAAAATTTGAGTTCACAATCTAATGATGGAATTTGACAAACCATCAGGAATGATTGTAGCACAAGATTAAATAAAATTTATATTGATTATGGAAATGGTTTAATTCCAACTTTTTGTGCTAGTACATTTTGTATGTATTGAACGGACCAAGTAGAGATAAGTATTTTATACTGATTAAATAAAATAAACTCTCTAGCCATTAAATGTACTTATACTCATAATCTTGATATAATTATTATTAGTTGTGTACATTATTATTATTTTGATTTATTAAAAGGCGAGATTCTTTCGTGGGTCAATATGCCTGGTAAATTGGATAATAATAATGTACATTGGCAAAGTAATAGTTAGTTGATGAAATCCATGTCTCGGTTTAGAGATTGATGATACACCTTTATGAAAGCTTACAAGTTTTCATGTGTAAACCCGACCGGTGAATTTTGTATCCGACATATGAAATAAGTTAAGTGAAAGTCTAAAGGAAATAATCAATAAATTAATCGTCAGTAATTTAATTGAATTGATTTGTATCTGAATTTTAACATGTGGAGTTAAATAAGATTTAATGGATGAATTTCGAAATTAAATAAGGAGTGCAATTACGAATTTTTAGTGAAATAATTCGTAATTAATTATGGTAGATATTAATTTCAAATATTAGAAATTAATTCCATAATTAGAGCCTTGTTAATTAAATTCTGTGGTTCCTACTGTGCCTGAATAATAGGAAATAAATGAATTCTTTTTCCGGTGGAAAAGAAAACCCAACAGGTTTCGAAAAAGGGGTTTAACCCTTAAAACTTGTGCTATAAATACATAAGGTTTTCCACCTAGATAAGAAAGAAAAAGGGGGCCGAAATTTTCAGCTTTTTTCCTAGAAAATTTTGCCCACACAAAATTACTATTTCCAGATATTATTTGGGTAACACAGTAGAAGACCGTAGAACGTTCGAGGATCACGATTGTGCGGGTGATGGAGATTCCATTGAGAAGGTATGGAACTAAAGGCTCACGTGATAGAAGAGATATGTTAACACTTCAAGAGGTAACCCGTGAAACCCCGTAAACATTAGTTGTCTAGATTACATGTGATTTTGATATTGGGATTGCTTCCGATGCATATAATAATCCATAAATTGGTACCAGAACCCACTCACATCTAATTAGATAACTAAGATTTTTCATGAAACAAGAATATCGTGTTTATGTGCGTTTTTGAATTACATGTATATGTTATTTTCTGAAAAATACACTGTTGTTTTGTGAATTAACTGTGCAAAATTTTTGTATTATTTTTGTATTCATGAGATACCTTCTTTTTATTGATATTTGATAGAGATTATCTGAATTTTTTGGGTAAACCCTAGAAAAACAAAAACCCAATTTTGACCGAATTACCGGTATTTTTTGAGGTCAGCGAACTTGACGGACTCCGATTAAGCTGAAGTTTGGTGGGTCCATTGGAAATAACGTGGTGAGAAAAACTCACTGCTTTATCAGTGAATCATGATATTTTTCGGCGTTTTGAGGTTGTTTGGACTGTGTTTGGGACGTTTTTCAATTTTCTAAAAATTATTTTTAATAATTTTTATTCGTTTTTAATTCAATGGTGGTGGGGTGACTCCCCATGGTCTTCATGATTAAATACTGATGATATAATAGGTTTACACGTTGGCTATTAGTATATAGACATGTTAAATTAAATTCAATAATAAAGGTGTATGATTTTATTGGCTAGGTCTTACAAGGTATAATTGATATCGTATGATGACATAATTATTTTGTAAGAAAGTAAAATCCTCTGTTTGATATCCTGGATGACTAATGATTGGAGCGTTTGGAATATTTATGCATAAAAAAATTCTCAAATTTTAGTTTATGTTTTCATGCCTTACGTGATTA